TTCAAATTACTCCAATTAAATTTTCTTGTTGGCTCGCTTTTCCCTTACTCATTCGACTCACTTAACCTTTCGGCATAATTTCATAGTCGTTTGCGTATATGACTCTTGATTCCACTTTTCTACACACTCTATTCTCCAATTACTTCTGTACAACTACTGTTGCTTTAGTCTTCTTCTTCATCTGTGAGGCGATTGTGCAGCATTCACTATCATATAGGGGGACTGATATTACATAACAGTTCAGTACCATTCTCTTTGTTTCTATTTTTTCCATTCTTTGATCCTTTGCTTAACTTTTGGAAGACATCTTTCGCTATCCCAATACGTCTTCGCATTTCAGTGCCACAAACAGAAATACTTCTTCTACCCTTAGAAAATTCCGATAATTATGTAACGTGATCAACAATGTGACTATTCTATTCTATTAAACAAGGTTAATTTTTTTACCGTTCGTTGTAAAACAGTTTTATAAAATTTTATTGCTAAGATCTATGCATTCTGTCTTTTTGCAATTGACGTTTAGTCCTTTCTTCTCGTTTTTCTTCACTACATCCCGTGGGCATTTTTGTAGTATCCTTTCTTTGTCTGCTATCAAAGAATGTTTTCACTGAAAGAAATTTTCATTCACAAAATATACTCTCCCAATTTAAACCAAACTTTTAAAAAACATAAAAAGTCCTTTTTTTTTCCTTTAATCATTCGAAAAAAATGAAACTCGACTTAAATGTTTGAATAGTTATTTAATTGCTAAGAAATGTATTGTGTACATACATCAGCATTTACAGTTATTTCTAGATACAGAAAATATTATTTTGTTCAATGTTTTACATACTGTTATTTTAAATTCTTCTGGAGCTAATTGCTATTGTAAAATATTTTTTTCTGATTAAATTAAAACCAAAACTTCTGCTCAATCTTTTTCCATTTGTCATTTGGTTGTACCTAGATTCATATTGGGAAAATCCAAATAGTAAAACTATACTTTCAGTCACGTCTTAGAAGCTGACAGTTTATTCTACGATCTTCATTTCTTAGTCTATGTACTGAGTCCATTCAGGACGTTGGCGATCTCAGCTCTCCAAAATGTCCTGTCCTTTGTAGCTCTTAATAAATTTTCTCTTTATTATCTCTCCTAAACATTGTTCCATCATTCACTTGGTAGGTCATGTTTTCCTTCGTCTCTCTTGTCTTCAATCTGTAATCCGCGAGTATCAAATTTTCCAAACCCACTTTCCTCGTTATGTGCCTAAGAAATATCAAACGTTTCTTCCTGGTGTTAAGTATTCTCTCTAAAGCTTCGTCGTTTGTCACATGTTTGGTCCAAGGTATTCTCCAATTCCTTCTGTAGAACTACACTTCTGTTGCTTCAGTATTCTTCTTCATCTGTGAGGCGACTGTGCAGCATGCAATATCATATAGAAAGACTGATATTATATAACAGTTCAGCACCAGTTTCTTTCGAACTATTTTTCCATTTTTAATACTTTGCTTAGCTTTTGGAAGGCATCTTTCACTATCCTTCGTATTTAAGTGCCACACATCCGCTCCCCTGTTAAAACACTTCCTAGATAGCGAAATTGTTGTCCTTGTTTAATTTTGGTATCTCCAATTTGTAATTTGCATGCTGGACTGTCCCTTTTGCATTTTTTCTTCCTGAAATTGATGTTGGGTTCTTTCTTTTCGCTTTCCTTCACTACCTTCTGTGACAATTTTTGTTGTATCTTTTCTGCGTCTGCTATCATCTACACGCACACTCATAGACAATTTCAAATGTTGCAATTGGTCAATATCATCTCGCTTATGCTAACACATTTTAATTAAAATCTTGAATATTAAACATTCTTCACTTCATCTGAGGATCTTGCAGTCAGTGTTTCAAGACAACGACATTATCTCTACAAACAGAAATACTTCATGTATCCTCAGAAAATTCCGATAATTGCATAAAGTGGAAAGGTTAATCATTTTTTTACCGTTCGTTGTAAAACAGTTTTATAAAATTTTATTTTATGTTTAATCAAGTCTTGGCGTTTGATATTCCTGTTATCTGACAACGATCGTATTTCGTAGGTATTGACCGAAAAGTAGATTACTTAAGGGGACTTCTTCTTCCTCTAAATTATGACAAGAAAAAAAGAAATCTAGGCAAAAATAGGAACACAGAAGTAAACGAGAATGGATTGAAGAAAAGAAGGAAAGAAAAGTAGAAATGAAAGAAAACTAGAAAAGACGAGAGAAAACGAGTATAGATTGAAGAAAAGGAGAAAGGGCGAAAGAAAAGGAGAAATGAAAGAAAACGAGAAAAGACGAGAGAAAACGAGAAGAGATTGAAAAAACGAGAACAGAGGGAAGAAAACGAGAAAAGATGAAAGAAATAGAGAAAAGCCGGAAGTAAACGAGAAGGGATGTGGGGACTGAATTTTTTTATTTGTTTCTTAACCGTGAAAATTCAACACAGCCTGCCTCTTCTTTTAAACCGTCATTCATACCCCAAACAAAATGAATATTTTTTTTCGATTACGCTAGTGCACACAAACCTTCATTCACTATTATCTATAAATGTATATTATTTGTGTAGCAGGAGATAAATTACAGGGAGATTTGCTATTAGAGAAGATGATGATTGTGGTGAATATAAGAAATGCAATAAATGAGGATTTTACAGGTTGACATGAATATTGTAGAAAAAGCCAGAGACTACAGACACTACTATGGTTCCTTTTTGATTTGATCTTGTCTCATATTACAGAACAATACCTGAGACCGACCTGCCCTCACCAGAAAAAGTTAATAGTTTTACCTACGCTGGGAACCTCGTCTTTGTGTAATGATTACAAGCTTGTATCCGAGATCATTGCTGTTAAGTAGAAGATTAGACCTTCATCGGGTGAACAGCATTCTTCTTTTATACGCCATCTCCTTTCAGGAAGGGGGGGCGAGCATGCCTCTTGCCGACTTAAACGTCATTTTTTTGCTTGAAGTAACTTTTGATCCTTTGAAATCTCTATTTTGTTCTGCCATCTATGCACTGAAAGAAAGTTAAGGAAGTTACTTGTTTTGACGTCAGTGTGCCCTGTGAGTGTTAAATTCTACAAGCCTTCTTTCTTCACTGTTTTCCAGAAATTAAATGTTGTTTCCTTCTCATTGTAAGTATACGTTTCTTTGCCATTCTTCTTTTTTTTTTAAACATTTTTTCCAAAACTAATCTACGTTTCTTAAATACAAACAGTGGGTGTCTCACATGTTTACTAATGGGTCACTCAAAAAAATGCTAAAGAGCCACTCAAGGTAGAGGTTTACTGAATGAATTTGATGCACGTAAGAGGAGGAGTTAAGAAGAGCATCTCATGAGGATATGTAGGAAAGATAACGATTAATCTTAGACTTAAAAGAAAACTTGAAAGGGAACTTGCTTGAAAACATCGAACTCTCTGCTTTCGGGCAGAGAAGAACCCAGATGAGACTCTGCCCATCGACAGAACCTCGTCTGGGGGGTGGTCGACAAACCCGACCCTGTGTATGTGGTGGAGTTTTGCCCGAGCCTACGGACTCACATCACCCCACATAAAAATGGTCATTGTGCTACATCCTGCTTCGCGGGGAAGTCTGGTAAATACCGACATGAAAGAAGACTAGTGATCGGGAAAGCACCTCTGAGTAGTTTTTTTTTTACCCTAAAGCAAAGACTCTTTGGAAGATGATGTCCGAATGGAATATTCTTCTTACTAATGGAATACGAAGATAATGAGGATACTTTTGAACAGTGCCCGTAGGCGTCCGACTTCTGGCTTCGAAGGCCAGAACTGGTGTAATTACTTAATATATTAGATTATATGGAATTAATTAATTCATAATAATTCTTAATAATTAATTAATAATAATTAATTAATAATAATGTCTTGTCAAGCATTTGAAATAGAATGAAGCAAGATACTCTTGTAGAATACTCCTAGTGATTTTAAATATACAATGAGTACTTGTGGTAATGCTCGAAAATTAAGGAATATCTGGTAAATAGTTATTTATGCACGTACTTGTAACAAATATCGTTTTATTTAAATTATCTACATGTTTCGGTCTGTCCTCATCTTTATCGCCATATTCACGATGTTTCGGCTGTTGTACGCCCCGGCATTTTTCAGGTACAACGGCCAAAACGACGGAAACAATGTAAATAATTACAATACCTTATCTCAGAATTATAAACAGAAAGATCTTTTTATCGGAAAAAATGATTTTGTAATTAGACGATACAATTGAAATATTCGTTAGTTGTCAACGAACACTCCTTGTCACTTTCATAATGTTCGTTATAGTAAAGACTTTATAATCGGAGATAAAACTATAGTAACGCCGTTGAACAATACTGGTATCAGACGCCGTCAAATAGCACTCGCACTAATAGTACTTGCTCGATAATACTCGCTCGAATAGTAACAATCGAATAGTGATCCGAATAGTAATCCTTATAATGATCACTTAGACGCCACGCTGATTCCCATATATACATTTCCTTTACGACCACGTGATCCACTTATTCAAAATGGGATCGCCTATGTTTGCTCTCTGGTGATCTGTGTTCAAACTCCAGTGTCGGCAGCGATACTTTATTCCTATATATCAGGTTCTTTTTTCATGCCATGTTCCATCATGACGTTGGCGATAATGACTCTCCACAATTTCTTTTTTCTTTGTTTTGCCGTGAATTGCCACTCATTCCTTGGAAATGTAGCGGAGTGCTTTCCTGTTGCCTCCATTTCCTTTTTTCATTCAGTTTTTCTTCTCTTCGAATGGTTGCCACCCAATGCTAAAGAGCCCAGTCTATGTTACTATTTAACGATAGGTGGCAGTAGGGGAAAGAATAAACGGGCTCATGACTTCGTCAAGTGCATTTGTACGAAAAGGTACGCAAGAAAATAGAGCGGAATTTAAATTCGGCTCGCACCTTTCATACCAATATCCGTCTAACTTCCTGCATATCCGAAAAGTATTGCCTTATAGCCACATCAATTTGAAACACAGGTTCCCGTACGATCGCCGAAGTTAAGCAACGTCGAACATGGTCAGTACCAAGATGGTTGACTGTGTGAGAATATCAGGTGTTGTAAGCTACAATATTCAAATGATGTAATGGATAATGGCCGGAAAAGCACTGAAATGAATACAATATGTGAACGAGTAATAGGGAGTGCTAGAGAAAAACAATAATAAAAAATATTGCAATACGAGCTCTGGTAATAAAATATGAACTGAGACAATAAATTTATATGTCCCATAAATTCAAACACTTATGGACCCATGTGGATAAAAGCGTTGGTTTGATCCAGTGACTTGACATAAAATGTTGCGCGTTCAATACCTGACTACTGCGGTGTTGAGCAAAAACTTATTGAGTTAAAGGGAGATAACTGAGACATCCGTGGAACTAGAACAATCTACCGCGTTGGAATTGAAATTCCAATCACCTGATGAAGGCCGGAGCGTACAATGGCCGAAACGTCGTGAATATACCAATAAAGATGAGGACAACTGTCCGATTAATGTATATAAGATATATTCGTTACCGTCACTTGATTCAGACAATATCTGAGATTTGATCTCAAATTTTAACAGCATGTGTAGAAACACTTCAAAACTATATGTTTTATTTTTAGCTCCTTATATTTAAGGAGCTATACATTTCAGATGTATATATGTGAGTAAAGGTAAATAAAAATTAGATTTATTGGTGAGCAAAATAAGATTTATTCATCAAAGTTTGAATTATTAATTGAAACGTATGTGTATTTCATGAGTTAATAAATTTTAGTTAATTTAGTAATTTGTTTAATCTATATTTACATAAAACAGAGGATATCCGTGTGTCTGCGTCTGTGTCTGCTATTAGAAAAAAGGGAAAATTTTAAAATATCTATATATATATAAAACAGGACGTTTATCTGTCTGTCTGTCTGTCTGTCAGTGTGATACCTTTTTACTCGAGATCCATCCAACTAATCTTGACCAAACTTGGCTTATACATTGTACAATGTAAGAGATAGGTTCTCAGCCTAAGAAAATCGATAATTTAAAAAAAATAATCGATAAAGCCGATCAAAATCGATTAATTTAACTTTTTCCTTCGAGTTCGTTCAAACTCAGTATGTAGGTCACGTTCATCATGAGCTCAACGATACTTCATTTATATTTCTACGCTACTGCGTTTAGCGAAAAATCGCGAAAAACCAATTTCAACACAAATCGATTTTAACACAAATCGATTTTAACACAAATTTTAAACTAAAAACTCCCTCAATTTAATCGAATAGAAACTTGACCTAATTGTAGCTAGCAATAATTTATTGTTTAACAGTAATTTAACTTGATAATTGAATCCACCCATATAGTGAAAAACCGCGTTAAATAGCGAAAATGGCGGGTTTTTTACTGGTTTCTTCCTGATTGTTCGTTGATTTTTCAACCAATTTTCATCAAGTTTAACAATTGCTTTATAAATGTATCTCTTTGACATCCCTGGTAGCACACTGACAAATTGAATTTCAAAAACTCCAAAATAATTGTGGTCTGAAGTGGGTCTTCATGTTGCTTATTTTACTCTTTCATATCCTCGGCAAACTTCGATTGAATAAATTCAGACTACTTTTGTTATATCAGTAACTGTATTAATTCAAAATGTTTTTTGTTTTTTTTATAATGAAAGTACTTTAAAGTAATTGAAGAAGACAGACTCTGTCATCTAAATATGAATCTATTTTTGTTCCATTCTAATTGAACGCTTTTTCTGATCGACCAGCTCGGTATGGCTTCTAGTTATTTTAATAATTGTAATTTAATTTTAAACTTATTAATATATCGAAATAAAATGTATTATTATTAATATTTGTAAATTACTAAATAAAAATATTAAAAATATTAATATTTTTTTATACAAATGTTAAAAATACTTTTAGCAGTTTCAAAATTTACAAAATATTTTGAAAATAATTCAATTTAAGCTAATTAATTTAATAATTTAGTTAATCTTTATTTATTTTCTTTCCGTAGACAAGCTGCCACACAAAGTTAAAGAAGCGTGTTTGCTCTGTCATTTCACTCATACATAGGGGGGGGGAGATGTACTCTTACAAGAGTAATTTCCATGAGTATTAGTACGAGGTGAATACAGAAAACATGGTTGAAAAATTAACACGGGACTACGGAAGAGGATAAAACAGGAAGATGAACAGCTAGTGAGGAAAAAGAAATTCGAGAAGTTAATTTGGAAGAACTGAAGACTATGAGGTAAGGAAAATATTTTTTTTCTTTTTATGTGCCATGTCCTTGCAGGACGTAGGCGATCATGGCGCTCCACCTTCTCTCTATCACTTGCAGCTCTCAACAAGTTCCCTCCACCAGACCACGTTCTGTCATATACTTGCTTAAGCCCACCAGGTATGTCAAGTTGGTTTCCTTTGTTTCTCTTTCCCTCTATCCGACTCTTGAGTATCAGATTCTCCAAGCCTTTCTTTCTCATCATGTGTCCCAAACACTTCAGCCGCTTCTTGCTGATGTTAAGTATAAGCCTCCTCCTTGTTTGCAACCTCTGTAAGATCTCATCGCTTCTCACCTGATCTGTCCAAGCTATCCTTAGCATGCTTCTGTAGAACCACATCTCCGTTGCCTCGAGTCTCTTCTTCATTTTTGAGGAAATCGTCCAACATTCGCTGCCGTAAACAAGGACAGAAATCACGTAACAGCTCAGTATTCATTTCTTTGTTACCAAAGAAAGAAGAAACTCTCTGAGTCAACGGCCAGCTAACTAGAGGTGATGCCTCCATAAACCATCGTGGAGAAGGCAACGGGAAGCCATTGCACTACCAATCCCAAAGCAAATCATGACTAACAACTCAGATTATGCGAAACCTAACGGAGAATATACAGATGATGATTAAAGAAGACAAGCGGTAGGCACATTCGGAACTAAGGAAGACAGTGTAGCATCGAGAAGAATAGATGATGACGGAAGAGAATAATGTTTGCTTCATTTGAAAACTCACACCTAGAAAGAGCTTTAGAGAGTTAAGCCGTAATAAAATATGCCAAGGACTGAGAAGGTGGCGGTGAATAGTTGTAAACCAACAGTCGATGCATTAGAATGTAGAGAGAAAGAAGTAGGAAAGCATAATTAGGAGAAAGAGAGAGAAAAGAAGTCGGAGACAAGACAAAGACGACGAGGGACAAAGAATGAGAAGAAGGTGCAGTTTTGATAACGGATAAAAGAGAAGGAAGAGTACTTAACAAGAAGCTTTTGATGAAGCTTAAAAAGTGGACATTTGGGAAAAGGGCGGAGTAATGTTTAAGTTAAATGCAAAAAAAAAAAAAAAAAATCAGTGAAATAGAAATAGTTCCTGCGTAGGATTATTTTTAATCCAATAGGACTATTTCTATAAATCTTGACACTTGTTGTCAAAGCGCTGAATAAAAATATAATAATCGATCAAAATTTAATATTATAAGTGATCCTCAAGATATGGAGAAATCAATTCAAATGATAAACATTCAAGAATGACGTCTACTTTTTTGTTCTCTTTCTTTGTGTGTCATTTCCCGTCAGGACTTGCGGGATCCTGACTCTCTACAATGTCTTGTCTTTAGTAGCTCTTAATAAATTTTGTCTTTTTATTATTTTTCCTAAACTTTTTCCGATGTTCATTTACTCAAACTGAAATAAAGTATGTTATGCACTATTTTCCTCTGATCATCTTGCCTTCAAACTTCCCTGTGAATATCAAAATTTCCAACGCCTCTTTCCTTATTATGAGACCTAGAAATTTCAACTGTTTCTCCCTGATGTTAAGTGTAAGTTTCTTTTTGTTTCCATTTTCTCTAAAAACCTCGTCCTTGTTCAAATATTCAGTTCATGGTATACTCAGAATCTTTCTCTAGAACCACATTCCACTTGTTTCAAGTCTCTTCTTCATTTTTGAGGACGTTGTTCAATATTCACTGCCATATAGGAGGATATATATCCCATAACGGTTCAGTACTATTTTCTTTGTTTTTTAACGAATTTTTTTTTCTGTTTATTAATACTCTGTTTAACTTTTGGCATGCATCTATGACTATCCCAATACGTCTTCTGATTTCTGTATCACACTTTCCATCCTCTGTTAAAATACCTCCCAGAAATTTTCTTCTTCATCTTTGAGGAGATTGTTCAGCATTCACTGTCATATTAGAGGACTGATATGCCGTAACAGTTCAGTATTTTTCTCTTTTTTGCTTCTAACGAAGTTTTTTTTTTCTGTTTCTTAATACTCTGCTTAGCTTTTGGAAGTCATCTTTGGCTATCCTAATGCGTCTTGGGATTTCAGTGTCGCTCTTTGTGTCCTCTATTATAACACTTCCCAGATATTTCAATGTTTCTGCTTGTTTAATTTTGGTAATAATCTGGTCTGTAATTTGCATTTTGGGCACATCCTTTTGCTACAAGTCGTACATTGTGTCTCTTTGAAATGTGATATTTAATCATTTCTTCTCGTTTTCCTTCCCCAACTTCTGTAGGATCTTTCGTAGTTTTGTTTCTGTGCTTACACTTATTTTGTTTAGGCCGGCTAATCTACCGTTGTGGCAATATTAATGTCGTAACCGTTTCTTTTTGTCTGGAAACTTACTGAAAACATTTTAAATATAAACATTTTTACGAAGAATGATAAAAAAGTATCAGGACTGGTTTTATAAAAACTCAAACACATATCTATTCGGCATTTAATCTCCTTCAAAGCAGTCTCCATTTTGAAGTGACACACTTTATCCAGCGTTGTTTCTATTGAAGGAACCGTTCCTGGAACTCCTCACTTGGAGGGTAGCAAGAAGCTAACTCGTCGCATTCTTTAGAATTACTTCGACGTCATGAAAACTTATTCCTTTAAAGTGAGCAATTTGGTTTTTGTAGAGAAATAGGTCGCACAGGATGGGATCTGGGGGATATAAGCGATGTCAGGCCTGGGGAATGTTGTTTTGGGGAAAAACTAGTCCACAAACCAAGGTCAATTATGGATCCTTTGTAGTCCAGTGAGAGGACCACACTCAACACATTTTCCTTTCAAGCAGTGATATAAACAGCGTAA